TTTTTTTTTTTTTCTCAAATTCTGATATTTTGCTGTAAATTTCTTTTATCTTATTCTGACGAGGTCTAAAAATTCTAATTCTACGAAATTAAAATTGAAAATACTACAGAGTACTGAAAATCAATACACTCGAAACGATTTCAGAATGATTATTTCTCGTATCATTTTTATTTTAATATTAAGTTAATCTAATTTAATGATAATTATTTGATTCAAATATTCATAGAATATCATTTTAGACTCTGCGGTTTGCAAATAAAGTTATACAGAAACTGACATGAAATTCATTAAATTGAAATGAAGAAAACGAAATCAATAATTCTACCATTACGAAACGCTACCTCGAAATTAATTATACATGTTCAATTAACAAATATTACCAGATACTTCATTAACAACTAAAATACATCGAACACACTACAACAAGTAATTTATAGATTCTACTCGTTTACACAGCAAGTTTGAAACTTTTATCTCTCATCGCAGAACAATGCAAACGCGAGCAAAATTTTTGAATGAAAAAAAAAAATTCTTCCAAATCTATTAAAAATTCTAGATCTCAAGCAATTGCAGAAAATACGGGGAAGATGAACAAAAATTCTTTTCAAATTTAAAGAGATACGAAGTACAGTGTCTGCCAATGATTACGTTCGAGTTAAAGCTTCTTACCTTTTCTGCCTTGTCTTCGTCTATAGGGTACAGATACTTCTCCAGAAGATCCTTCCAAAATTGTTCCTCCTGTAGCGAGAGCACATCGATTTCACCTTTCTTGAGCCCCTCGTCACTCAACCAGTAAGGTCTGCTGAGGAAATTGCTACCCTCGCGATTCCCTTCCGTATTCTGACTAGTCACCGTTTCAGCTTCACTTTGACAGTCCTGATCCTCCGCTGGATCTTCGCCAATAGCGCCTAAGTGATCAGCTGTTCGAGAGCCCACGGAAGATGCACGACGCCGGCTTGTCACTCCATGAGGATCCACGGCTCTAAATAAATTCAAATAGAGCAAAATTATTTCGATAAATTTTATTTAAAATAATCTTAATAATAGTGATTTTTATTGACTTAAAATAATTTTAATAACAGTGATTTTCATTGACTTAAAATAATTTTAATAACAGTGATTTTATTGATTTAAAATAATTTTAATAATACTGATTTTAAATAATGATTTAAAATAATTTTGATAACAGTGATTTTTATTGACTTAAAATAATTTTAATAACTAATAATAGTGATTTTACTGACTTAAAATAATTTTAATAACAGTGATTTTATTGATTTAAAATAATTTTAATAACAGTGATTTTATCGATTTAAAATAATTTTAATAATAGTGATTTCATTGATTTAAAATAATTTTAATAATAGTGATTTCATTGACTTAAAATAATTTTAATAACAGTGATTTTATTGATTTAAAATAATTTTAATAATAGATTTCGTGGACTTAAAATAATTTTAATAATAGTAATTTTATTGATTTAAAATAATTTTGATAACAGTGATTTTATTGATTTAAAATAATTTTAATAACAGTAATTTCATTGATAATAGTAATTCATTTTAAAATAATTTTAATAATAGTGATTGAAAATTGAAATTGACTGATAAGCTTTTTTACAGAGTTTTGTTCTTTCGAATTCTGTCAGACATATTAATAGATAGTATGGGAATTCGATCGATGAAAGAGAAAATGAAAAAAATTCAGACTCCTTCGTCGAAATGATTGATGAAGTTAATTGATAAATATAATGAATTTATGAAGGGGAAGATTCTTTAACATAACATAATATTAAATGAACCTTTCAATGACTTCCAAACGTTTGCTAACTTGCTCCAAAGATTCAGCAATCGCGACCAATTGCTGTTTCTCGTTCGAGGTCTGTCCATGAGTGCAAAACATGCACTTGAACAATCCTGCCAGGGAAATTTCTATCGATCCTTCTTCGTCGTCGTTCGAGCCAACGCCATTTTGAAGAAATCCCAGCAGAGATTTCTGTTTTGCCTTCCGTTTCGCCTCCTCGGCTTCCTTTTTCTCTTGTTCAAGCTCCTATCGATTTAGTGAGAAGAACATACATTTGTTGATTCATTTCAATTTTTACGAGATGCATGAGAAGCTACACGAGCACTGTGTTTTTAAGAGAAATATAAGAGTCAAGCAGCAAATACATGATAAAAATATTAATTGCATACTGTTAATTCGTTAGTTGTGGCTATCGTTATATCTACAAACGTAACAATATTATAACAAATATTAGAAAGTATTACATCTTGAAACAAACTTTTTTAGAAGAATGTTCAAATGTTTGAACGTTCAAACGCGATATGTAACTCAATTATTTTTCACTCGTGGATTTTGAATATGTACAAATCATCGACATCTTGATACGTGTTCGCATTTATAGAAAAATAATACTTTTTAGAAGATTAATAACCGCTTTCAATAAAATTTGTTGTTTTAAATTCTTTAAATTCTTTAAATTTCATTGAAACATTTACGGAGCTAAACATGTGTCAAAAGTATACTGATTTACTACTTTCTTCGCTATTTCTGCATAACTTCTTAATAACTGATTTTCACAATAATAGAAACCATTCAGAATTCTGTTATCCCAACTGAATATCATCCGCGTAATGTAATGTATTTAGCTTAACCGAGCAAGAGAGTTTACTCGTAGTTCACTCGATTGATGTATCTGTACGTACAGGATAAATTACATAGATTGGATAGCGGGATTTAATCGTAATCTGAATGTCAGCCATACTATCGACGTTTGATGTGAAAAGGATTTGAATCTACTAATTCGCTTCGATTACAGATTACAGCATGTACACGAGATGGCCTAGTATGATCATTCTAATCCCTATAAAAATAAGGAAATTAACGAAAAATCAAATGTAATTAAAAAAGATAAAGAATCGATATCTCAGAATTCACGCGTCTAGAATTCTTCGTGCTTGTCTCAAGGTGTGTAATTCTTAAACTGTATGTTAGTTTTATAAAAAGAAAAAAAATACAGCTTATCAGTAAATGTAAAGTGCAGAGAATAAAATGGATGGTGGCAGAAAGAAAATGAAATGAAATCTTGCGTGAATTTGCAGAGAAAGATTAGCATTAGCATAATTACCGCAGCAGTTTTCTTAGTCTTCACCTCTCTCGTGCCCCATGTGATGTCATTCAGATTACTGATCGAGTAAATAATAAGCAACACGTACATGGATGGGACGGTGATGAAGTATATGATGCTGTATATTAAACAGTACATCTCCGCGGGGTGCATTAGTGCAGTTATAAACATCTGACTTATTAGTAATATTAGAAATATCGCGGTTGGCGATAGTGTACCGTCCTGAACCACGTTAATTGCAATCCCAACGATCACCGCGATCATCAGCATACAGTATACAGTACTTATTACCGCTGCCATGAAAACCTAACACACCATTGTTAATATTAGTGTTCACGCGTGTGACTTTCTGTTTGATCTCGTAAAAAAAAGATATATTATATTGAGGATAATATATGGAGATATAAATATCTCTTTGAATTTAGTAATCATACTTATACATTTCGATGAATATTATTAAACATAATTAATTTTAGTTTCAACACATCGAAATCGAGCGAATTAATATTTCTTTACAGCCTTTCTTTTAAAAAAGTTCGTTTATATGGTATCTTTGTCTCAATCGAAATTTATCCTAT